GCACTTGGAACTGCTGCCCAGGGCAATGGTTGGAGTCAGCCCATACCTTTCTTTCCATTCTACAAGTTGAAGTTGCTCCAGGGTTCATGGGTTTGTCAACAGGCCAGGGACTGCAAGGCAGTGAAGGGAGGAGAGACAAACAGGGAGGGATCATCTGCTGTGGACGAGACCTGACTGCTTATTCCCTCTCTACTGCATAGCTTGCTATGTTCAGGTTTATCACTCTCATCATCACATTTACTAGCTTAGTTGCTATCTGCAAATCCCATCCGTCTTGGCACAAGGGTGGCCTCAGGATCCCTGGAAGGGGGAACGCATGGCGATGGTAACATCATCATCATCATGAGTGCAGACAGGATCCGTGAAGAAGATCAGGACAGGCAAAATGAACCAGACCTGCAGATTCCGCAGTTAGGTGGATACCTAGAGCTTTCTTCTCATATTTCATCCTTGGAGGGTGCCCTGCTAGTATTGGAGCATGATTTTGGATCTATACAATACAATGGCTTAATTTGAAACCCAGTGTAAAGGTAACTTTTGATGTCCGTGGTCTTGCAGCCTTTAGGAGAGGAGGTGGATGCCCCCTCACAAGAAGAGCTGGTGTGTAAAAAGATGGCCAGCACTGGTACCATTTCTTCTGGCCACCCCGGTCTTGGAAAGCCTAGTTTTAGCAAAGAGCTCTGGATAATGAATATCTGCTGTGTCTCAGCTGCAGGAGCACTGAACCAGGGCAAGGTCATAGATGCAGCCTTGTTTGCAGCGCTTAACTGGCTGCATACTCTGCAAAAAGGGCCAGAGCGGGTACTTTAGGAAACCAAGTTTCTTGCCATCAGCCTACATGCCTGATTCTATAAGTGTGTACTTTCACTACTAAATTTAGCTGACAGTCTTTAAATCCGCCTCTCTTCTTTCTCTTTTCTCCCATCACAAGCACAGGCACACATCTCTCCTGAAAGAAAGTCAGTAATGGTGTTGCACCGTCCAATTTTACATTAATAGCGATGAGATGTGGTTGTTTTACATTGCTTCTTTCCTAAACCAGGATCAGAATCGGAACAGATTCCTTTTCAAGCACTTCAAGCCAGCAATGAGATTTAATTTAATTCACAAAACAGGTTCTCACTAATTCCTTCAGAGAATTTTCATTATAATCATTTGCACAAAGGCACAGGCCATGACTGACAGAGATGATGTGGCTGCTACCAGCTTACTACAGTGTCAAAAAATCAGGCACCTGTCCCACCAGGTGACTCGGAAAGAGGCATTAGCTGCCCATGGATCCAGTACAGCCAACTGAGAGAGCAATTAACTAGTGACTAGAGAGAATTAAACTCCTTAGAAAGATAATCCACACAAAAGCCCTACATGTAAAGCTGGAAGCTGCATGGGTCTAGCTAACACAAAGGCTGAGAAAGGGATGTTTTTGAGCAATTCTCCCTCTCTGGAGCTTAAACATCTCATTTTCAGCTGCGTGTTACATGCTCCTGAGTGATTCAAAGTCTTTTGTCAAAAGAAAACAGCAATTCATTAGGAATTATTTTTAAGGGGAGGGGGGCGGACCATGATGATTACATCCCTCTCAGCCTGAAGTCATGCAGGACTGTACCTCCCATCTGCTGGCAAAGTGTCTTGAGTAAAAAGCAGCCACAAAGACGGATGTGCTGGTCCCTCAGCCTTCCTCGCTAGGCTGGGCTGGGTGACTGCTCGGTTGTGAATGTGAGAGGAAAAAGTGATGGGCAGAGGCGGTCCATGGGCATCAGCTGAGGTCACGCTTTGCGCTGATTTGTAGGACCAAAATCCCAAGGCGTGTTGGGCTCTTTGGAGACTGGGGATGGTGTGTTTTCTGCACTATTCTGCAAATAAATTTACTGTGCAGACAGAGAAACAGGCATTGTAATCTCGTTTACTGATTGTTATTACTGTTGTTCCATTGTGAGCAGGGAGTCTACGGGAGTTTTTGAGAGCCCCTCTTCATCCCACCCCAGCAGTAACAGCTTCAGTACAATTTATGCAACAAGAGACAGCAGGTGTTTACTAACACCTGCATAAACCAGCAACAAAAAAGTGCTTCTTCTGTAGTTTGGGAGGAATGGAACATTAAAACGTAAAATCAACCTTTACAATCAGAATTGCTACAGAATTTCCTCCATCCGTTTTTTAATATGCCTATGCTCAATTTCCTTTCTTTTTAACAACTTCATGTAAAGTTTACCAGCGCTTCTTCCTTTCACCAAAGACACAACTTTCCTTGGTTGCTAGACCAATACTGTACTTTTTCGAAAGAGAGAAAAAGAGTGTTCTGGTGTCACCAGGTAATTTTCCAGCACGCCGCCAGAGGGCGCGCTGCCCGCTCGGCACAACAGCCTTCGGCCAGCCTCTGCAAGCCGCTGCCAAGGCCAGACAGTTTTAAAGCCCTCATTATCAAACTCAGGGCCAGCGAGTGGAAAGAGTAACGCACCCATCTTTGACCCCAGTATTTTTTTATGTGCATAGTATCAATCTAGTGCTCTTATTGCTTTTGTTCTGGAAAGGGAAATACCTTTTCACTCGATTCACAAGTGAGAACAGAGCAACTCTCCCTTGTTTTACCTACCGGCTCTTAGGCAAAATCAGTTCTAACACGTTAGCTGCTATGCTACATTTTTTTACATTTCTCCTTCCTCTACCCCACTGCCATCGTCATTTTCCCATAACCAGGGCAGCTTGCAAAGCAAACACTTGGGACAGCAGTATCCAGACCTCGAAGGTGGTGGGGTTAGTCCGGGACACTCTATGCCCTGTGACCCCAAGGAAAAATCTCATTCACCCTTGGAAATGGCAGCCTAGCCTGTCTCCTAGACTTGGCATTCACATCACATGAAGGACAAAAAAAGTGTCAATCTCCGTCCAACAGCATCTCTCTAAATCAGTATTTAGCATGAACTGGTTCATGTTCTGGGCTGTTCAGCCTGGAGAAGAGAAGGCTCCAGGGAGACCTTATTGCAGCCTTTCAGTACCTAAAGGGGGCTTGTAAGAAAGATGGGGACAGACTTTTTAGTAGGCCTGTAGCGATAGGACAAGGGGTAATGCTTTTAAACTAAAAAAGGGTAGATTCAGATATAGGGAAGATAGATACATAGATATAAGGAAGAAATTTTTTACAATGAGGGTGGTGAAATGCCGGAACAGGTTGCCCAGAGAGGTGGTAGATGCCCCATCCCTGGAAACATTCAAGGTCAGGTTGGACGGGGCCCTGAGCAACCTGACCTAGTTGAAGATGTCCCTGCTCATGGCAGGAGGGATTGGAGTAGATGGCCTTCAAAGGTCCCTTCCAACCCAAACTATTTGATGAACCTATGTGAAGACCCACAGTCTAGTAGTGCTGGAAAGTGGCTGACATCTCTTTGAGAAGGGCATGTGGAGACCTCAGACCTAGCTACAAACTGACACTGATCAAGGTCCAACTGATGTGACACATGCCCAAGCCAAGTCTCTGGAGATGTCATCTGATGTTCTCAGCACCAAGTAACACTGGTCCCTACAAGGTAAAAAAACCCAAACGGCAACCTGAATTGGGAGCTAGGGTACTGGGCTGACTGGCTGTACAAAAAGTGCTCCATTGACATCTTGGCATTGACATCTTGGGCTTCAGCCAGGAACAAGTGTGCTTGGACCCCCCAGAGGCACCACAAAACAGCAGAAACAGCAGCAAGTCATTGTCCACCTGAGGCAGCAAGGGCTATCTGAGCATGTGGTGAGCAAATAATAACTTTTCTTTGCCCCAAAATGTCCACATTTTAGAGGTAAGTTTTGTGAGTTACACATATTCAAAGCGAAGTATATGTGAGGACCTACTGAGATATTCTTTCTAGTCCACACGGCTAGCATTGAGCAGGTCTAGAAGAAATATCAGAAATCATTACTAACCAGAAATTTTTATTCAAGGCCACAAAACCAGAGTTTTTCTAAGACTCAGGACCTGACAAAATGCAAAATCTGAGCACTCTGTTAATGTGATATATTAAGCACCAAAGCTGACACAATCTGTTCAGGACTTCATTTGCTGTGTAAAAAGCCGGTCTCAGGATAACATAGAAGAGCCACTCAAATGTGGTCCAAATCTATGCCTAAATAAAGAAATATATAGGGAATGTATAAAGGAATGTTTAAGACAGGGTCTAGGTAGTGCCATCCAAACCTGATCCCCCACCTGCAGACCTGGGTAACGCGAGCTGTCTTAGTCTTGTTACCTTGAGTCCCGAGTCCCAGACTTTGGAAGTTTAAGTCTAGATTCATGAAACAGTGCAGCAGAGCCAAAATAGAGAAAGACGAGCACCATTTTCAACTTCTGTCACAGGTCCATAACACAGAGGTAAAACACAAGTGCCTACCTAGCTGTCAGGGAACTCCTACTCTTAAATTTTAAGGAGTATTTGAGCTTGGAGGTTTACCTACTGCTAACATCAGCTTGACTGGCAATAACATATGGAATTGCTTCTGAAACAAACTGCAACCAGGGCATTCCTATAGTATTTTGTCAAACAGTATGAAACATTTTAAACCTTAAAAAAAGACTATGCTATTCAGAATATTTATTGATAACCGTAAAATACTATGTTATGCAAATATGTATGTAGAGTTAACAGCTTTCAGCACATCTTAGAGCTGCTAAATGAAGTCGAAAACACATTGAGGTGAAAAATTATCTTGGTTATTCAAGTTGGTTTTCTTCTATTTGGATTTTTAACTATCTTGATCAAAATCTATAGAGGATGAATTACAAGTGTCACACACTCCAGATAGATAACATTTGGTAATGAGAAAAGTCTGGTCTGTCTTGGGCCTTGCATGTATGTACCCAGAGACTTCATATATTACAATTCACAAGATAACAGGGAAACCTGAATGAGAACAATGTAGACAGCTGCCCGGGGAGTGTGTGATAAACTCTCAGCTAAGATCTCAATAAGGCAATCAAGGTCACTTCCTACAAGAATAAGCAAAGAAACAAAGTGAGGGCACTAGGCCTCTTCCATGTACTTTTTGGGGCTGAAGCTCACATTCATCAGTGGTTCAAAACCTCTTCTCTGCCTTCGGTGCTGGAAAAGTACAAGCAGCAGAACGAGCATGACCAGAGCTATAAGTGCTCCTCCAATTGTGGATCCAACCACGACAGCCCACACTCGGGTTTCTTCAAGGGAACCTGGAAATATGAAACGTCTAAAGTGAGGAGAGCCCATAATTTCCTTTTTCAAATCACATGGAAGAAAGAATATGTCCCATAGCCTGGTAATTATGATTACTTGTGTGGCTTAGTGACCAACTGGCCACAGGGGAAGCTGGTAATGCACCATGTAACCAAGACGCATACCAGAGCCAGAGATCTTTCCTGCCAGAGAAGTCTACAGCTGGATTTAAATTTCAACCTTTCATACGAATTAAAGTGTTGAGAATGGGAAAGGTTAACAATGACAAGACAAAAAGACCATTCTCTTATCGAATCTGGCCAAATTATGAATGATTTAAGCAATTCTTTCTATGACATTCCAGCATAGCTGTTTCCAAGCTATTTGGTCAACAGAAAATCCTCAGATTTTCCTACAGACCACAAAGCAGGCTATTGTCAAACTTTTAACTGAAAACACTACTGAGTGTGGTTCTGCTGACCGGCTCCAGATCACATACTCTGATTTTGAACCACTTCTGGGGAACCACTGTCTTCTAAGATAACATTGCCCATTCTTACAATAACACTGCTCCGCTTGGCTGAATTTTGTGTTTTCATTTATGCTTTCAAAAGCAAAAATTGCCTGCTCCCCTGTTCTGAAAAATGCTACATATACTGAGATGGCAATAATTGCATTTGACTAAATATTCACAAAAAACTCGCAAAAGGTATTTAGAAGTTAGTTAGACACATGGGCTTAAGGAGATAGATGGCTCAGGGAGATGTCACACTGACTATAAAAGCAACTAAAAGTTGCCTGCAAACTCTGTCAACAAGAGTTGAGGGTAGTCATGCCCAAATTCAGTAAGGTCCCAAAATGAATTGTTTACCACTTTATCATCTTTCAAGTAAAAGCCAGCAATGTATTAACATATGTTGATTTCTAATGTGGTTACATGAAGTAGAATTAGCAAGTTATATATTTAGATAAAAGAGAAGGGTTTGGATGTAAAAACTTTATTGCCTGAACACAGACCATGCAGACAAGGATAGGCACACTGGTTCACAGGGAGCTAACAATTTATTTAGGTGGGAGTCGAGAAGCAGCAGAATCACAAGCTGCCTTTGTTCCCCTCTGGGTACCTCATGCCCAAAGGGCAGGAGCATTTCCAAAGCATGAGGTGGGACAGTAGTTCAAAGGGAAGAAAACATAAACTCCATAAAAGGGGAAGTTTAAATTTTCAGGGGAAATTCTGGGGACACCCCTGAGAAATGCACTGCATAAGCAGCTCACATGCCTCCACAAGTCAGGGCTCCCCTGCATGAACGCAGCCTGAGGACAAGAGTTTCAATCTTTTGCAGTCTATAGACCTTTAAACAGTCTCCACAGATTAAAACCACAGATATATGATAAGCAGTTAGAAGAAAATCCTGGCCACATAGGTTAGATAAGCACCTACTGCCTCTCAGAGGAATACCAAGGGGGAGAAAGAAACTGCTCAGATTTAATCTTTGGTAAAGCAGCTGAAGTAAGGTTTTCATACATTTCTTACACTTGTGCCTTTTACAAATATTTGTAACTGGTGTTGAAAATTTTGGATTTTGTGCACAAATGCTTAGCTTTCTTGGTTTTTGTCTTTACCTGATTTGTGTCAAAGATAATTTCAAATGCGTAGACAAACTCTAAGGCACATCACACCTATGGCCATGGAAAATCTTTAAAATTGGGGGTTTATAACATAAAACACCCAGGTACATCTCTCCAGGGTACCCAAAGATTAATGGACTTCATGTCTAATGAGATTCACGGCACAGTATTATTCAGGGCCTTCTGCAAAACAAGTATTTCCAAATGACTGGTGTTAGCCAGGCAAGCTCCCTGGCAGAGTGCCTGACCTCTGACAGGTTAAAGGATCCTGCAACGGGCATAAACAGTGCTGGGAACAGGAGCCAAAATCCAAGGCTCCTCAGCCCCAGAGGAGCACCGTTGTCAACGCTGGAACAGTTCGAGTTGATGCGTTTTGGAGCAGAGCAAACAGAGTATGTGCAGACTTGTAGTTACTATGGCTTACATGGTGAGTTGTAACTACCTGCATGTGGTACAATTGCTAGTGAGCAGGTGAATAGACCCATGCATTTTGTGAAAGGTGCCTTATTTTCCATATGCTTGTCATTGAAAATGTGAGCTGTCACACTGAAAATGTGAGCTCTCTCATCGCTTGGCCCAGAACAGCCTCCACACCTCTGAGACATACCTGGCAGGTCAATGGCGTAGGTGTAGCCAAGCTGCTCCACGGTTTGGAAGAGTTCATCATTGGTCACAGGAGGGAAAAAAGGGACCATGTTATACCGTCTGTTGTGACCGATGGGAGCCAGCTCCTCAGGCCAGGCATTGTGAGGGGGGTTGAACCGCTTCATCCACTCGTCAAAGATGGCATCAGTAAAGGAGTGAAGAACCTGCAAATCCAGGCATGGGTATGCACATTTATTAAGCTTCTTCAGAACTCAACAGCATTTAAAACACTCTTGTCTAAGGTGGCAACAGCTTTTGAAAGAGAGAGAAGAGAATAATCTAATTTAGGTGGGATTTACAGAATAGGCAACCAGGAAAGCTCATGAGAATGGAATAAATTGATCTCCTGTGTGGGACATTTTGCTGTATACATCCTTGTTGTTGCTTGTTCATAATAAGCTTTCTCCAGACAATTTAGTATCAGCTGGCATTGAATGGGCAGGTCCATCCTCTCGGGTGAGGGCCCACTGAGCTCATTCAAGCGAAGGTACCTCTCAAATGTATTTTAATCTCTCTCGTCTCTGAACAGATATGGAAAATTGTGGGAAACTTGATTCCCTCTTGCTCATTTTAGAGTGTGCCACCAGCTCCACAGCTCCAGGTACCCATTAATTTGATCAGGTCTTGCCCAGTGAGTTTATAGGTCTACAAAGCACCAATGCAGTTTCAGACAACTATTACAAATGTCTGGGGCAATTCAAATTAATTTTTGATGTACTTATGTTTTTTAATTAAAACCTTGGAAAAAAATTAGAAAATAATATTGCGTATAAAATTACAGCATAGAGGAATGAAGATTTCATTGTGTAGGAAAGAAATTCATGTAGGAATTCAAGGAATAAGCTGGAGAACCGCTACATAAGTATTTGGACTAATTTCTCCAACAAAAGTTTGCAAACTTAAAGGTAAGAAAGAAATTAATTATTAGAATTTCTCTATAGAATCACTGGTTTTTAATCTAACAAAGAGGAAAAGAAATTGGCATGAATTTATTAGGAGAGAAAGATGTGTAAGCAGAGTCAACTGTTGGCTTTTTATTTGCACATTACTGTTTGTGCTGCTCACTGCAGCACCAGTGAAATCACATTATTTCTATTTCCCAAGAGACCCTGAAATTAGATGCGCTTCCTTTTAGCCTGTGAATCTTGAAACAAAGAAACAAACTACTGAGTCTACTGCTTTAAAATAACTAGCCCCACTTGCAGTTTATCTTGTTGCTGTAAAATTGTCTGGCATAAGGCATTAAATTTAGATACCACCTAATGAAAGGATTCAGGGCAACATGGCTTGGAATAGCAGCTCTTCTCGCTAGAAATTTATTTTATATTTTACAAATGACCCTGAGATTTCTTCCCTCTTTATTTGACTATTATGCAGGCATGGCAGTGTTCAAGAAAAGATACAAGATTTCTCCTTTTTTATTGAAAGGACTTATTTTTAGGGAATTCACTTTACTGCTGTTCTGCAAACCTCTGGTGTGACAGGTGCCTTTGAGCCACAGCCACTGCCACTCACGCTGGGGGAAAAAGACATACCACAAAG